TTTTTATTTCCAACATGCGCTCATTCATGGCTGTATTATTTAACTCATGCAAAGTTACGTCTTTATTGGGAGCGGACTTGACGGATTATTTTACGTGACTCCGACTTCATGAGACGATGAGCATATAGACAACAGAGAGCGAATTAAATTCAGCACTGTTATTTCCAACATGCGCCCATTCATGGCTGCATTTTATTTAATTCATGCAAAGTTACGTCTTAATTGGGACAGGACTTGACGGATTATCTTACGTGACTCCGTGAGTTCATCTCTATTTCTTCGAGCCAAGCTGCATAAACTGTATATCAGGCATTTATGTAATACATCTAATTTGTGCATTAATGGCTGTTATGTTAAATAAAGTTTACTAACTACAGTAAATCAAGTACCCGTGCACGCCGTTGTTGTTGCCTTGTTTCCCCTCAGACGCGCTACAATGTTGATCCTGCGAGCAATTATCAAAACATCCACAAGATGGTGGTATTTATCGGCGAATCCGATATTACAAAACCGATATCCGATTATTGTAAAATGCTAAAATATCTGGAAAAATATCGGTAAATCGATATAGCGGTCGATCTTTAGTGCTTATATGTTACTATATTGTGGATGATATACACTGTACTGACCAATCAGAAGACAGAACCAGGACTATGTCCTTTTTAAAGAACATTTCAATAAGAGTTAGTAGACGAACATTTAATTACAGCTCGACCAAAACTGCAGCTGGAAGCGGAAAGTTACTGCAGTTACCTGGATCATGTAAGGTTTGTTTCCCATTCTGCGGATTTCTGACATGTTCCTCATCTGCTGCTGCACCAGCGATGCTTCAAACGCCACAAGCATGAAGAGCGTAAAGATGCTGTAGTACCAGTACTCATCCAAACACCACAGACCCACACAAAACACCTGCAGGGGGACAAAAACATACAGTTCATATCATACTCACAGGCTGGTGTTTCACAATCCCGGACCCAGGATGTATGTTCAATGCAGTTTCAGTGGTAAAAAGCCTTCAGGACCAGGTTTGAGAACCACTGCCATTAGACAATGATGCATTTCTAGTATACTCATGCATTTATAATCAAACCGAACGCTCTGCATACAAACCTGGAAGACAAAGAAGGGTGCTGTGGCTCTCTCCCTGAAGAGCTCCAGGAAGTCGGGCACCACCATCTCTGCACGGTTGGTGCCATAGCGCTTCTCTGCAGCCCGTAACTGATCCTCCTCCTGATAGCCTCTCCAGTTTTGGAAGTGACTCATGGGAAAGTTGATCGGAAACTCCACTGGCAGAAAGCATTTCTTCTCCTTGCTCTCGTACACATAACGGATCTTCTGGAACTCAAAGGACAGGATTTCCGATCCATCCTCATCCTGCACACACAAAAAAAATAAAAAATAAAAAAAGGAGAGACTTTACATAGACATTTTTCATCTGTTATAACCTAAAATTAGGGTTTCCACACCTTTGACCAAGGAATTATCATGGTTTTTCCGGTTATCCATGATTTCCAAATAAGGATATTTTATCTACATTCTGGAAAATCTTAGATTTTTTTTTATACGTTTATTTTCAAGCCTGACCATTTCAGTTTTTGAAACGGTTTGACTGTGACACCTGTATAATAACATTTGAGACCCAACAAAGTATCATATCACATTAATAATAACGAGATCTGAATACTAAAACAGCTATTCTTGCATTATTTTATTATTGCATTATTTATTTTATTTAATTCTCTAATGAGCTTATGTTTCGATTTGTTTTTTTACTTCAATAATATGAAACTTGGGGACTTTTGTAGTACTTGCTATATTAACACACACAAAAAACCTCGGATATGATCACAAAAGGCTAAAACAGTCACACTTTTGATTTTCACGGTTAAAAATGACTGCCATAGGAAATGAAAGCGAAATACATTTTTTGGGGGTACAATCTACCAATCAGCCAAAATGAAAAAGTCTTTGATAATGTAAGAATATACATCCAAATTCAAAAGCTACATAAACACACTTATAAACAGCTAAGGAAAACCAACCCCAATGTGCTTATTGTCTTTGGTGTGTTATGACAGCGGAGGATCACAAGCATGACCCCTAAATGAAGAATACCAGCAGAGTATTAAAAGAAACACCAGGAAAAAATAAGATCTCTCACCTTATCCCTCAGAAGAGGCACCAATTCAGCTGAACCATTGTTGGGTGTTGGTATAACTTTTGCAAAGGTGGCTTTGGCTGGATCAGACTCCTGTTGAAAATATATTTGCATAATTACAGTCAGCTTCCTGTGCAAAATTATGAGATGTCCCAAACATATGGTTGGATGCATGACTTACAGGTTCATCTCAAAAAATTCGAACATCATGAAAAAGGTCAATATTTTATGTCACTCATTTCAGAAAAATTTGTCTAAAACTATTTTTGTGATGGTTTGTATTTTTGTGCTCTGTATGGAACATCAGTGCCTGTTTAAGTGATGAACTTATACTTGTGCTACAACTTTTTGGCCTGTGCTACAAAACTTTCAACCTCTGTAGCACCAGTGTACAGCCCTGTTATGCAATATTAAACATTTTCTGAGACACTGAATTTGGGGTTTCCATCATCTGTAAGCCATAATCATCAAAATTTCAAGAAATAAAGGCTTGAAATATTTCACTCTCTGTGTAATGAATCTATGTAATATATGGGTTTCACTTTCTGAAATGAGTGACAAAAAATATTGACCTTTTTCATGATATTCGAATTTTTTTAGATGTACCTGTACTAAGCCCAATAAAAGCGATCATCAAACGTGCTGGTTATTGAAAATAACATTTATATTCATTGCTTGCATTGCACACATGTTTTATCACCTTGGAGCAGGTGAGCCAGCAGTGCGCGTGCACGGACCAGTAGCCAGAGAGCACTGTCAGGACGTGCGCGATCCCGAGAGCGGCGAGCGCGAGCAGACCGGCCTCAGCGGACTCCGCGGCTCCGTAAACTCCCAACCACGCGTATAAGCAGCCCGGGTAGAGGAGGAGGAACGGGAGCACCGTGCCGTGCAGGACGCGTGGCCTGCGGCTGTGGAGAGACACGGATCTCACCAGATCATCGCTCGGCGCGCGCGTCTGCGTCCTCCCGGCCGCGGGCATGTTTCCATCTTTTTTAGCTTCGTCCATTCCAGAGCGTGCCTTCCTCCTACTCTCCACCTCCTCCTCCTCCTCCTCCTCGCAGGCGCTGATGGTAAACAGGCAGCTTCGCACCGGCCCGTTGTCTGCCCACGCTACAGATTCCTCAAAATTATCAGACACAAACGACAGCTTCCGCATACGCAAGCACGCACGCCGGTGACGCAATATCCGGTGCACGTCCTTCCTTGCCAGGAGATTTTTCGGATTGACAGAAATTTTCATATGGAAATGATATTATTAAAAAAAAGTCAAATCAAGTGCCATGGGATGATAAAAGAAAAGACATATATTGCACGGTTTTTTATATGTGACCCTAGAACACATAAGCAGTCATAAGGGTACATTCTTTTGAATTGATTTTAAACTGAAAGCTGAATAACTAAGCTTTCCATTGATGTATGGTTTGTTATGATAGGACAATATTTGGCCGAGATACAACTATTTGAAAATCTGGAATCTGAGGGTGCAAAAAAATCTAAATACTGAGAAAATCGCCTTTAAATTTGTCCAAATGAAGTTCTTAGCAATGCATATTACTAATCAAAAATTAAGTTTTAATATATTTACAGTAGGACATTTACAAAATATCTTCATGGAACATGATCTTTACTTAATATCCTAAAGATTTTTGGCATAAAAGAAAAATTTATAATTCTGACCCATACAATGTATTGTTAGGTATTGCTAGAAATATACCCGTGCTACTTATGACTGCTTTTGTGCTCCAGGGTCACATATTTATAAGGCAAAAGGGCTACTAGAACGTGTAACACTTTTAAATTTGGATATATATTTTTACATTATCAAAGACTATTTCATCCCAAAAATCGTATTTTTCATATTTCCTATGGCAGTGATTTTTTTTGACCTTGAAAATCGATATAATGAAATACGCAACTAGATACGTGCCATTATCCCTATTTTTAATTGAAACAAACTCACTCCCAGTTCTTACATTTCTATATTATACTAAAAATAATAAGAGTGGCAGGGTTTTTGAAACTAGTGTTAAAGATACGGCTGATGGCACACAAAAGCTGCTTTCCTCTTGTATGAATGAGTGTATGACGGATTTATCGTTGTTCCTTTATTGTATGTTTCTTGTATCTTTTAACCCGTATTGCTGTTTATTTTAATATACTGTACATCAAAATGAATAATAAAGAAAATACATTAATCAACAAAGCAGCACATAAATATCGTTGGTTAACTGTTTTCTTTTAAAACAAAATACGACAATGAAAAATGAAAGAAAATGTTACTTTAAAGCAGTGGTTCCCAACCCTGGTCCTGGAGGCACCCCAACACTGCACGTCTTGCATGCTTCCTTAATCAAACACACCTGATTCAGGCCATCCGCTCATCCAAGACCTGAAACTGGCGTGTAAGAGAAAGGAGATCTAAGCTTTGTTTCAACCCCATTAGCTAAAATGATCAGTGAATTGTAGGAGCTAGAATGTGTATTTTGTAATAAAATGGCCCTAGAACTCTATTTGACGAACTGATTTTAAAATGGTTTACCGTCCTTCATATTAGTTATTCTTTCAAAGACGTGAACCTGCGGTGTTGAGAAACCATTGTGATGTGCATATAGGCTAATTCAATTTAAATACATGTTAAACTGTATTATAACAGGGAGGCAGCAATGGCCATCATGAGCAAATACTGCCAGAAGGAGCTGGATGAATATGGTGCATGTGTTGTCTCCCATCCAGTATCATGGCAAGAGAAGTGTGTAGACCTGAAGCTGAGGGTGGCACAGTGCACTTCATCACAGTACGTCCATATATAATCAACAACTCTGCATGGCAAAGAGAATGCAACTGCCTTTGTGTGAGAGCAGGATGTTGTTTATTCTTATTTATATCACAAATTGATCTAAATGTGTTTCTTCAACACATTAAAACTGTTGTTTTGCCACGCTTTTATTGACTCCGATTTAGATCTGTGACAACCATTATAAAAATAGAACAATAATTGGTTACAGCATATTCAAAACCTTAACAAAATGTAGTGTTTAGTTTCTTTATTTTGCTTTAGACATCACCCATCAAGCTGTATTCAGTCATATTGTCCCCCCCCCCCCCAAAAAAAAAGTATATTTAATTTATTTTAATCAAATTTAAGATATTATATGTAAATGTTTAATTTTGCATGTTATACATAAAACGCTGGTTCTGAAATATTAGTTTATTTTCTAAAAGCCCACAGTGCAATTTTCCTGAAGCTGAATAAATAGACTAGGATGGTTTATTTAGCCAGATGGAATAGGAAGCACTATATTTCTGATGTTTTCCTCCTGTTTTTCTTCCATCTCAATGCAGTCCTGTGATAAGGAAGATCCGAAGCGACTGTGCTGGTGAGTTTTCAGTGTTTGAGCGCTGTCTGCGGGAGAACCAGAGCTCTGCTGAAGCCTGTCAACCTCACCTCGCATGTTTCCCTTGCCTGTGTTGAGACCGTCGACCTTTCAGGAATAGGTAAGCAGTGAAGTCTGCGTTTCTATAATTATACCTGGATGTATGACTAAGTACAATGAATTAAAATATTGGTAACACTTTACTTGAAGGGGTGTGCATAAGACTGACATGACACCTTCATAATCATGAGTTTTATGCATGTTTATGACAACTGTCATTAAGTGTCATTCGCTCAGTTATGTCATTTTTAATGCAAATATGACATTATTTGACCTAACCCTAACCTAACCCTACCCCTAACCATAGCCCATCACAAAGACATCTCAAACAATGTCATCTTTGCATTAAAAATGACATAACTGAGCGAATGACACTTAATGACAGTTGTCATAAACATGCATAAAAACCCTTCATATTCATGACATGTGTCATGTCATGAATATGAAGGTGTCATGTCAGTCTTATGCACACCCCTTCAAGTAAAGTGTAACCAAAATATTTCTAACACTTTCTTCCAACAGCAAATGCTGCGCCGCAGCCCACATAGGTGTTTTTTTGTCCCTGTTAATAACACAGGTGTTTTATACTCAGTACTGAGAAGAAATGGGCTGTGGAAAAGCTTATTATCTTTGAAGAACTGCAACACACACACAAAAAAACTGAAACCTCAGTCTTTTGCACACCTTTTTTTTCCCAAAATATTCAATGTGATGTTTTATTTTGTTAATGGAACGTTTCGCACTATTTATGAGATTTTTTTTTTAAAAAGCTCACCATGATATCAAAACACGAAGTTGCAATAAAATATGCATTTCTAAATTCTCTGCACTTTTGAAGATTAGAGACCTATTTTACCAAAAAGCATTAAACAATTGAATTCACATGCACTCTGCACTTTTTGCACGATGCAATTTATAAAATAAAAAAATGTGTTGCTAGAATTTTTCAGCCTGCTGAAAAATTCTACATAATGAACTGTAATATGTTTATTTTTAGTTAATATGTATTCAGCATGCTTGTTGATTTAACATGTGAAATCTAGGTTCAGTACGCAGGTTTATGTCATTTATAACAGGTTTTTCTTGTTTCCCGTTAGTCGCTGTTTGGATGTTTTTCACCTTACCGTACCACTGTATAATATTAAACCAAAGAATGCAGGCATGTAATATCTCCCCCTCACATTTCCACTGGTTCCCTGCGTCCCGGAACAAAAGCCTGTAGGGAGGCATTAGATTAGTGCTGCTTTGCCCGCTGGTTAACGGGAGGGAGGACACGGGTTTTGAACCTTTGACCACCGAGCTACACAGACCTTTCATTTGGTCCATTTATCAAAAGTGGAACAATATGTAACCGTTTTACCAGAATCGCATTCTTATCAGAGCACATGAACCATAAATCACACAGCCAAGCGTCAGCGTTTGAAATGACGAGTTATATTGGGAAACCGAGAACACTGTACACAAAAAACACATTCACTGAAAGTAATCACACTAAAAGAAACCGAAACAGCCGTCCTTAAAAGAAACATCACACCACTTTAAATGAAACAGTCCAGTATCACTAAATGCTTCATGAAAATGTGAGCAGCTGATTTACCAGCAACTCATATCCAGTGTACTAAAAACTACATTTCAGTTTGTCAGGTTATGGACGGTTTTCATAAGCAGATGGTGTTCATGTAAATCCGCTGTACATTCTTCAATATAAATAATACGTTTCACATATACAGTGTCTCATGCTGCAACATAAATATTCCAATGCTATTGTTGCCGTTAAAAACAGCCAACAAGAACATAATGAGTTAAAAGTAGTAAATAACTACACGTATAACAAGAGAGCTAATTACAACAACAGTCATGTGACCAACACATTTAGTATTTTACAATAAAGCACAATTAGCAACACGTTGCCAAGTGTACACGTCCTGTAACATTTAGGGGGTATTTTTAATACTTTGTGCTCTTTTTCTTGTCAGTATTAAAGTGATAGATGTCATATTTATTATCAACCCTGTAACTGTAAGGCTAACTAACCCTGTAACAGCAGCAACCCTGATTATTTCCTCATCTCAGTTTGGAGATTGTAGCACATTCCTACATTTTACCTGATGCCTAACCATCTAAAGCCTACAGTCAGTGCTGCTGCAGAAAAATTCAAGGCCCTTGATAGTTTTCACCTCTCACTTTTTTTTTTTAATCAGAGGAAATCTACCCTGTGTCCAAAACCTGAAATTAGAATGGAAAAAATCTCTTTTGTGGTTTGGTTACATCATAATTTTCCATATTTGTCAAACCTCGCTTTAATCGTTTTGATCGTGTTGACTGAGCACTGTGGTATGTGTGCCTCCTTTGCTCTCTGAACCCTGTCAAGACTCCCTCACTGATATTTTCTTTGAGATATATACTTCAGCTTTGACGTTTCATTATTTTGTGGGTTCTTCATTTTTTATTTTGTCTCTTTAATTGTGTAATGCACAGTTAAGGCGGCTTGAAAGTCCCTGTCTGAGAAACTTACAATAGTTAAAAACCTACCAAATTAAATTTCTTTAGAGAAAATGCTGCAATAGCTGTCGACATTTTTCATTTGTGAAAAGAAAAAAAAGTTAAAAAAGTTACATTTGTGTTAAAGGTGCACTCAGTATCCCCCCCCCCCAATTTAAAGATTCACACGCAAAAAATCAATACTTTTTAAAATAATGTGCTAATATATATTAACATAATTTCCTTTTAATTAAAGTTTTAGTAGTTTAGATATGTTTTTGCCATTTTTATTAGTTTTTTTAAATGTCTGTATCCTTTATTAATTAACATTTTTTTTGTTATTTTAGTACATCAAGTTAAACTAAATGAAAAAGAGAAATGTTGCCATGGCAACTAGATTTAAAAAAAATTCAATTAACGTTTATTTTATTTTATAAGTAATGAAAAGCCTTTCGTTTTAATCTATTATAATAACCTTGCTTTTGCTGCATCCACACCACTAGGTGTCAGTGTAAGTACAGGATAACTGCTATATTAGTCAGCTCAACATACAAAAACTGAGTGCACCTTTAATAAACATTGTTTCTTTACAAGAAATATTAATGTACATTTGACTTACGCCAGCATGCAAGACTCTTTTGGTTTTCACGTTATCTTTAAATAAAAGCTGACTCAAGACGGACATTAAGATGGCAAGGCGGTATGGAGAGAGTGATATGAAATTGACTTGGGCTGTGTCTGAAATCACCCCAATAACCCTTTATCATGTGCTATTTGAGGGGACAGCCATTTGAAGTGGTGTCCAAAATCATAGTGGAACTAACCATGTTATTTTAATGTATTATCTTAATTATGAACACACTGGTTTGTAGTGCAAACAGTTTTACCGTTTACTGCACTTTTGTTATTCTTCTCGTTATTTCCCTACAGAGACTAATGAACCAGAAGTCTCCCACATTCACAGAAAACGGCTTACATCCACGTTGAAAAATAAGGTGGATAGAGAGCTTCAGTGATGACGTATTTTTGCAGGTCAATCCAGAAGTTTGCATAACCCTGGTTCCTTCAGCAAAAACCCAGTAGCATATTTTTAATCGCATAAAATAAGCTCGGTGGCCAGCAAAAGTGTATGATTCCTACATGTTTTGTTCAGCACGATAATCTTCACAAATGAACTTTTATGAATTTTGAAGCCTAAATACAACCGGCTGAAGTATAAATCTAAAAAACATCTTCCCTAAAAGTTTACGTTATGAGGCTGTGAAGGCAACTATTTCGACCCAAATGTACATTTAGCCACTCGTAACAACCGCAGTTTTCAAGTCACTTAAAAGCTTAAAAAACATTAGTGAGGCATTACTGCTTTATTTTATGTTGTGGTATAAAATGTGAAAATATTTTGCGCTTATGTTAACCACAGACCTCATTTCGGGCATTTCACCAAAAAATCATTCAAAATAAACAATTGACTTCAGAACAGTGGAACCGGAAGTGCTAAAATAATCATTTGTTTCTGGGTTTTAGCTTGCAACAATATGTCACTGCAGTGCTCTGTAGTGAATGAGGTGAGGTAACACTTACATGAACATTTGCCCATTGATGTCTGTTATGTTCCTATGACCGTCGCAAAAAAACGTTTAGTTTTTAGTGCATATGTATGATTTAAAACATGTTTTTCCAGTGAGTTCCCATTCTGTCCATGTCAAATAAAATTTTTAGGGTGTGACTCTGTTTTGGTTTGGTTGGTTAGAGTTTTATTGGCACGACTAAGATACGATTGAGGGATTCAATTAGTTTTAACTATGAAAGACGCCTCCAGTGAGACTCAATCTACTTGTTGCCCCCTGCAGTGGTGGAGGAGCGCTTTAGGTAGGTGGAACCAGGGTCATGAAGTAAAGTAGGAGTTTTGCATCGAGTAGAGGCGATCAATGGGATTTCCTATCCGTCCTGACAGAACTCCAACGTCGGCAGTCGACAAGAGACAGTCCCCGAGATGACTGAGGCTTCCATCGCTGTCCAAGTCATGGAAAACTGTCTCGGAGTCTGAAATGAAGTCTGCGTTCAAATGCAAACAGTAACTGAAAAAATAACCAATGCTGAAGTTGATGCAGTGGGAGATCCTTACCGTAGGAGTGCATCTGCTCGGGGCCTAGCTGCGGTGGCGTGAGCCCGTGTCGGAACTGCTCGCTACTGTATATGTTGGGATCCAAAGCCAGCAGTTGCTGGCGTGGCAGAGAGGAATATGAGAGCAGCGCGTCCAGTCCGTGACTGCTGGAGCCATCTGTAGAGAGACAGAGCCGGGTTCACACCTTTCATCAAGCCATTTCACACAGTTGTGTCCGTGTCTTACCCTCACTGTCATCGTTACTCTGGCGGCCCCCTCTGCTCGGGCCCCTCCTGGTCCCGCCCATCTGCTCCTGTTCTTGCTGTTGCTGCTGCTGCTGTTGTCTGCGAGCGATCTTCTTCATCTGAACTCACAAAAACAACCATTTATTGAAGTCCACTGGTCCTGGAACAACATTCCCATATAGTAGTACTTATCAAACAAGCTCCGAAAGTGTGTTCACAATGATGGCAATTAATTTGAATTTAATTAGTAACACTCATGGGTGTTGAATATGTGGGGGACGTGGGGTCGTGTCCACCTCTCTTTTCATAAAACATAAATTTGTCCCCTGCACTTTTTTCGGCCAAGTGTGTTCACGTAGAGGTTTTCAAGGAGCAGTGTGAATAAATCTACATTTAAATCTAGAGACAAGATAATCTATGCATGACCTGACATTTTATTTAAATCCGAAATGAGGCAATGTTAACATTATGGAGTGCTAAACGCTCTCATGCAGTGTATGTTTCGTTCATACTCGAAGCTGGAGGGCGCTCTCGTGCAGAAATTAATAAATATAATAAAAAAATAAAACCTGTCAATAGACAAAAATAAATAAATGAATAAATAAAGTACTGTCAAACGATTAATCGCGATTAATCACATTCAAAATAAAAGTTTTTATTTACATAGTAAAATAAATGTGCGTGTACTGTGTATATTTACTATGTATATATAAACACTATATATTTTGACAATATATATATGTATTTACATGTATATATTTATATTCATATAATTTATATTAGATATAAATATATTTAATATATAAACAACATATTTTTCTTAAATATATACATGCATGGGTGTGTATTTATATATACATAATAAATATACACAGTATACACACATATACTATGTAAACAAACGTTTGTTTTGGATTTCGCAATTAATCGTTTGACAGCACTAATATGTATATATATCTATAATATATATATAAATATATATATATATACTGTATATATCTCTGAATCTATCCATATGTTTTCCCTAAAAGTATCTATGTATCTGTCTGTCTATTTTTCTGACTGTGTCTGCTGTCCATCCATCTGTCTTTCTAAAAGTAGTGTCTATCTATCTGTCTGTATATCCATTTATCTGTCTTTCTAAAAGTATCTATCTGTCTACCTGTCTATCCATTACAATGTCTGTCTGTCTGTCTGTCTATCTATCTGAATGTATCTGTCTATCTGTCTTTCTGAAAGTGTTACTTTTTTTTCTGTCTGTATCCATCTAACATCCATCAGCTCATTAGGCCTATAAACATTTCTCCCAAAAGTTTCAAAGAAGGCTTTGTCAAGCCAACATTCAAAATGTAATTGACAAGCATTTTCTTTTTTGTCAAAGATCTACAGCTACATGAAGTTCTATGATTTTCAGTTCATTTTAACTCTGCTCTCTTAAGCCACATTCTAAGCCTCAGAAATAACACAAACACTGAAAACCCATTCATTGATAGAACAAGGATGCCGTTTTTGCTTTTCTACTTAGGTAAATCATGATGAAGCAAGATCTAGTGTTTCAAACAGGAAAGTTTTCAGAATTGATCAAAACATGATGCCAGCCTACCTTTGCTCTCTGATTTTGGAACCACACCTGCACGACTCTCACCGTCAGTCCAGTCTCAGCTGCCAGAGTTTCTCTGACCTGCAACAACAGTATATGCATGAGACGTACATACAGTACATGCTGTTTCCACATATAACGCACACGAGCGGCCTGTGACTGCTGACCTTTCGGCAGGGTTTGGAAGACACCTCGAAGGAAGCCTTGAAGGCGCGCCGCTGTTGTGTGGTCAGGATGGTTCGTGGTCTCTTGGATCTTTTGTGCTCCTTCCCATCATCCCCAGCCTTCCCCCCAACAGAGACACCACCACCATCCTCATCCTCACTCTTCACTGCAAAGGGAAACTGAGCATTGGCTTAAAGGTGAAGAGAGTCATTTCTGGACTATGTTAACATCTCCTGTAATTATACACGACCTTCAGCGAGGTCACTGAGGTTACCTGACTCGGTAGGGGCCGGACTGATGGCAGCCAGCATCTCTCTCTCCTTCTCATAGTCTCCCCGGCAGAGCAGCTGTCCCTCCTTTAGCACAAACTCATCACCTCTCTGCAGCCGGCGCTCACACTCGCAGCAGCTGAAGCAGCCCAGGTGGTACACCTGTCCCAGCACACGCATGATGAGCTCCGAGCGGCTGATCGCCTGAAGACAGGCACTGCACTTCCGCACAAACAACCTGCACACATACACAAACACATGGGCACATGTTATTGATATGTTTCTGAATGTTCACTTTATGCAATGTTTTGTCTGTAACACTGGGTGGCAATATTTGACAACAGACTAGATGTCACACAAGCAGCTAAGTAAAAATTGATCATTTAACTAGTGCTGTCAACCGATTAATCGCATCCAAAATAAAAGTTTTTGTTTACATAATATATGCGTGTGTACTTTGTATATTATGTATATATAAACACACACATGCATGTATATATTTAAGGAAAATAGGTTATGTTTATATATCAAATATATTTATATATAATATAAATTACATGAATATAAATATATGCATGTAAATACATGTATATATTTTCAAAATATATACTGTATGTATGTGTATTTAGATATACATAATAAATAAATGTATTTTATGTAAACCAAAACTTTTATTTTGGATGCGATTAATCACGATTAATCGTTTGACAGCACTACATTTAACCCTTTAAAGCCTACTGTATTATGATACACATTCCTAAGGCCACTAAATGATCAACATGATCAAAAACTTACTGAAAAAACTTCTGTTGTCTGATTTATACTTTTTTAGCAAGAAAAAGGCCTTTTAGTTTAATTCTAAAAACATCCACCTTCAGATCTTTAGTGATTGTCACAAAGTAAACATAAGAATAACTTTTGTATTGTTTTAGTAATATTTCAAAATGAACGTTTACTAGATTGAATCAATTTAGGGTTAATCCATATAGCATTTTTTTAAAGAATAATTATGTTCAAATGTATCAAATATGATGCATCAGGCTTTTGAGGAATGTATAATTATTCGTCTCTCAGTCATCATTTTATTGTACTGCATTCTTTTTTTAAACTAAAATCTACCAAGCTTTGATCATAAAAGCATACAAATATAATCTTTAAAGACAAATTATTGGCAGATATAGAGTAACAATTGATATGCATTTATGTAAGTAGTCGGCTATACTTAAAAAAAGATATCACTTGAGTATGAACTCCATATTCTCACTCTATATGAGTCATAAAAGCCTGATGTACCAAATTTGATACTGAACAAAATACACATGCACATTTTTTCATTATATATATATATATATATATATATATAGTCCAAACTAGGGCTGTGCAATTAATCGCATGCGATTGTCAAGCGCATCTCGTCAGTAAAGCCGGTTCTGTGATTAGTAGTAAATCTCCATCACCTGCTTTCAGATGGAGCGGCATTTACTACACAGAGCCGTAGTTCACTGACAAGCTAGGCAATATCACGTTCATAATCAAATGCGATTCATCTGCGATTATGAACGCGATATTGCCTAGCTTGTCAGTGAAGATCGCATGCGATTAATTACACAGCCCTAGTCCAAACATAAAAAAACTGGTTATAAACATTTATACAAATATTTTTTTATTTCATATGTCAGGTTTTACAGGGTTAATATTATTAACATTTATTACGCTGCATTTAAGCTGTACATTTTATCAGCATGTCACCTGGGAATTGAACCCATGACCTTAGTGTTGCTGGCACCATGCGCTATGGTAAATGTTTTTAAACTTAATGAATTTTCAAAATGATTAGCAAATACAGGGATGTACAGGGCAAAAGTGAGCAAATGTATTAAGAAGGTCATTTGTCCTGCTACCAACCCTGAAAAATGCCTCTTACTCTCTTTAAACGGTGTTTTCTTTCTAAATAGCTCATCAGCATCACAATTGGTTTTAAAGGCACTCTCGCTCTTCAATCCCCACCAAACCCCTCGTTTTTTCTTCCTCTCTCCCCTCCCTCGCCGCTTGATATTTTCTGCCAGAATTCCCTGTCCTCCCTCTCTCGCTCCCAGCCTCCCTCCCCAGCTCCGTGAAACTAATAAAGACAGGATTAATTAGATTGTTGTTTAAACAGTGCGATGCCCAGACAGACGCTGTAAACTCATAACCAGGGATTGAGGATAGCATGGGGTTAATCTCTCTCACACTCGAATAAACACACCATACTCACACACACACACACACACACATTTACCAGCACCTTTATACGGCCGTGCTCATGTACTCTCATAAATATTGACAGGTACCCACAGATGAACCTGTAGATGATCATATGGTGTCGATGACAATCTAATCCTTCTGCACATTTCATTAAGCCAAAACAACTGTCACCATTCACCCAAAATGTGACATAAACCAGTGTGAAGTTACTGTCACACACCTGAACCGGACAACAACATGTTTTTTGTAGATTGGCGGGATTGTTGCTAGGGTGTTTTGGGTAATTGCTGCTTACTGTCCCAAGTCAAAAGTCCCAAGTTTATGATATTGTGGTCTCAGGACCCTACTTTAGTGCAATTATTTTGTCAACCATGTAAAAATCGTCAAAAGCCGCCCGATTTTACATATCATTCGATCACGGTGCAGGACAAGCTATCATTTAAAGTAATAGGTCAACCAAAATTCTGACAAGAGCTATTCCTTACTTGTGCTTAAGGGTTTGTTTATCCCTAAGCATTAAGAATAGGGATACCTGCATTAGCAGTGACCACTAATTAAATTAAAACCACATATATAGGTGGCGAATAAAAGTTTGATGAACACAAACCATTTTGGAGGCGAGGAACAGATGAAATACACATTTGATGGATACCACAGACTTCATGACAGTTGCAGAGACGGATGGCGGGAGATCTGGTGTGTGTGTGTGTGTGTGTTGAGAAGCACCGAGTGCAGGAGATGAAGGTGTCATATCAGAAATCTGCTGAAGGGAGAGGCAGCCAGGTCCACACATTATAGCCTCTAATCTGCATGGATGTGATGATCCTGTCCGTAACGCAGCTGCTATGGCTAATCTGTCTCAATCCATCTGCCAAAAATGCCAAATTACCCAAATCACCACCTACTACACCCAGATCAAAGAAGACCAACTCTAAAAACCCATTGAGAAACTGACTCAAAGACTGAATCTCATGAAAGCTGTCATATTTCACCTCAAAACTGAAAGAAATAAGTACAAATTATATTTTTCTTAAAGACAATGAAGACTCTTTTTTTGGCTTTATAACATTATTTTTATAGCTAATATATATTCAAGTAATTCCTTCCCAATTCTCCGAAAAATAATGCACAAAAGTGGTATTCTCATTACAATCACGTGAGAAAAAGTTATAAATCATGGTTGTATCTGAATCGAAATCAATGACAATTATTACACTTGAAAAGAAATTGACTTTGAAACAATTTTCGCTCAAATATTTCACAAGTAGTTACGAAGAAACAGCAAATAACACTAAATTAAATGTGAAATTTTGAAGTGGAAAGACAGAAATTGTATTTTCTAAAACGCATGCCAATAATCTTTTTTGTTTACAACTTCAAAAAATATTGTTGTTTTTTTTCTGTACAGTGGTGAGTATTTGGGGTCAAATATTTTTAATTGTCATAATGAAAATATTCTCACAATGTAAAAACTCTTCATTGGTCATAAAGTAGGCGCCATTTTCTTTATGCAAAATATAATTTCTTGATTTTTTTATATTGATTTTGAGGTGAAATGTGACCTGAAAAATCACCAGGTCATGACATTAACCCACAAACTTGGCAGAAAATGTTGAATGAAAAAAAAAAAAAACCCCACTGCAAACGGACACATTAAAGGTGACAGTTACAGAAATAACACCACATTTTGTACTTAAACATAGACAGACACAGACCCGAAAACTGGAGTTAACTGAGGATGAAACTATCTTGGGGGAAAGAAATTATGATTGCGGGAAGGCAATCAGGCGCTATGAGCGTATGTCAATTCAATAAAGTTTTACATGAATCTATAGCCAAATCATAGTGTGGAGGCCTAATCCATGCATGAACACAAAATTTTACATAATCAAACACTTACTGTCATAGTTGCGAGGTTTGTCTCGCAGACTTTGGTGCATCTTTGTATACATATATGGAGGCAGTATGTAAATCATAGATGTACACATAATTGCAAGGGTTGGTGCGGTGTGTGTGTGTGTGTGTGTGAGCGAGAGAGAAAGAAAGAGAGCGGATATTGCTGTGAGGGAAGGTGGCTCAGAGCCAGGGTTCAGTAATCACATCATCTTCTTTTATTAAATCTCACTGCACTGCTTCTGCGTTATTAAAATCTCCCAGCATTCCCCACAACCCACTCCCGCCAACCCCCCTCCCTCCCCGACACACCAATATTCACAATGATGAAATATGAGAAAACCAACAGGTAGCTGATAAAAACATACACATCAGACCACTCGCACGCAAAAGAGAAAGCACAGGTGAGCAGCTAAACCGTTCAGTACTGACACATATTATACTGCCCCAATCATGTCATAGATGCACACTTCAGTGCGCACTTGCTAAAAAATGGCCTTTTTGTTCTTAGCAAGCAAACGGTGCTACGCACACAAATACTGAAATAACAATCGACTAGTGGCATGCATAATTTAATTGTCTAATTATGTTTTGATTTCACTGAGACACATCATAACTTTTGGGTTTATGCTAATAAAACAACTAATTGTGTCATTGTACACTATAAAACACTCTCTGCTGAATTAAGTTACGTTTATGGATTACTAGTCATATGAAGAACACTTCAACAGGGTTATTAAAAAGTGTACTGTATATCAAGGTGGCAATAAAGTTAAAATGACATTTCTTATGATGCCTTGCAGTGTATTAATGAGACTCAATATTTTTAGATGATCATGTAAAAATCATGGGTGAAAAATAACGGTAACGATTTGGTTCCATTTGTTAACATTAGTTAAAGGGATAGTTGACCTAAAAATTACCCCATGATTTACTCACCCTCAAGCCATCCTAGGTGTAAATGACTTTCTTCTTTCAGATGAATACAATCAGAGTTATATAAAAAAATCTCCTGGCAAGGCACAAGCTTGTAAGCTTTATAATGGCAGTGAATGGGAGTCGAGATTTTGAAGTCCTAAAAAGTGCATCCATCCGTCATAAAAAGTGCTCCACATGGCTCCATGGGGTGAATAAAGGTATTCTGAATCGAAGCGATTTGTTTGTGTAAGAAAAATATCCATATTTAAAACTTTATAATCCATAATCTCTAGCTTCCGCTAACTGTCGTGCACACATTCACTAAGAGAGTGGCGTTCCAGCGGATGACG